TACGTAGTCAAAGCAGACCCACAGGGAAAAAGAAGAGTTATTAAAGTAACATATATAATTATGCCCTAGAACATTAGAAAGTATCATGAAAAATCAAAGAAACTAGAAAAGTACTATGGCAAAACTGCAGTGGAAATCTCCCAATGCCAAATAACAGTTAAAATTAATTCTGATTTAGGACTTTCCTTTTTCTCCTGGAAGAAGAGAGGAGAGAGAGGGATTAAAGCAGTGCATCAAAAATATCTAGTAATTTTATTTAAAGTCTCTTATAATTTTAATTCGTAGCCTTAGAAGGCAGAAGGAAGAGGATAAGAGTTGCCAATGAAGTTGTAGATCATAGAAGAATTAACAAAAGTAGCAGTACTACACAAGAAAGAAGACACACTCTTTGTGTGACACAGCTTTGGCCAGTTTGAAAGGTAGGATGTGAGTATGTTCAGTACCAACTGATATCATTTCCCTGACCACAGCCACCACGCACATGTCTGTGCTAGCCGGTAGATAACGGATTTGCATCAGAAGCAGGAGGAGCTGACACGTGCCAAAGGCTCACTGAATTTGCATCGTACGTTTTCAGCAGCTGTCACCAAACAGAAACAACTATGATTTCAAGAATTGTGAAACAGAGAATCGGTATGGCTGATGGACAAAGTGACGAAATTCGCTTACCCTCCAGCTGGTTAGTGGGAACTGACAGCACCTTTGGGTTCCCCGAGCCCGCTGGCCAAACTGATGGGCAGAGGCCCCAGGAAGGGGATGCGTTGGCCAAGCACGTCAGCTAACGCCCGCCTGACATACGGCCGTGGTGGACCAGCCGAGGAGGCTGCCATGCTGCTGACCCACATGCTGGCAGTGGTCACACAAGCAGGGGAACGGGTTCAGGTTTTGGTTTCCTGGCAGCTACTGGCATGCCCGACACACCGACAATTCTGCTGACTTCTACAAGAGATGCCGAAGCTCTGCTCTGTACTAAAGCGGGTAGTATGTGCTTGAAGATCCATTTGCAAAAGCCAGCTTCCTTTAAAACACGCTCCTTCCAGAGACTGCTGGCATTCATCTCTAGTGGCCAAAATAATTTTCACCAGGGCATAGCTAACACTAGATTTCCTCCGCCTCTACTCATACTCAGTAATCAAAACACAAAAGAGAAACTTCAGCTCTTTCAGGGGGCAGATTGCTTTAGAAACGGAACGTCACCACCTTCCCAGCAAGCATTTTCTTGCCTGATTTCATAATTTGTGATTGTTAGTACAGCAGAAAAACCCACAAAAATCCTGAATCCACAGCTGTACGCTAAAGGAGTCACTAGATTTAAGTGTGACTAACTAGAATCACAGAATCATAGAATGGTTTGGGTTGGAAGGGACTTCTAAATGTCATCTAGCCCAGCCCCCCTGCAGTGAGCAGGGGCATTTTCCACTAGACCAGGTTGCTCAGAGCCCCATCCAACCTGGCCTTGAATGTTTCCAGGGATGGGGCCTCCACTCTCCACTACCTCTCTGGGCAACCTGTTCCAGTGTTTCACCACCCTCATGGTAAAAAATTTCTTCCTTCTATCCGGTCTGAATCTACCCTCTTTTAGATTAAAAATATTACCCCTTGTCCTATCGCTACAGGCCTTGTTAAAAAGTCTGTCCCCAGTACTTGGCTATCGCTGGCAAAAATAACAATTATTGAGCGTGGATGCTAAGCTAAGAAAACAGCAAAATCAATATAGCAGAGTAGGATTATATCTGATTACTTCCTTGAAAAATGAAATATTTTAAAAAGGTGTATATTTCACTTAGAGGAGCAGTCCATACTTTTCTTTTTGCAAAATCAGAAGCTTTCACCCCTTGGAAATGCAGCTTTCTTTCAAGACTGTTCAAGGTAAAGGCGTCACGAAGGCAGCGAGTTGAGCGCTAACAGCAGTCTGGCGATGGAAACACCAACCCACAGCGCTCTTCAACACCACTTGGAAAATGGGCTTCAGCTGGGCATTCATGTTCAACTGCCTGCACTACGTCCTTCAGCTATCTGAGAGTCACAGAGACTGCACCCTCCCCTCCCTTCCTCCCATTCCCAGTCCCTCCTTCTCTGACAAGGCCATTGTAAGGCGGCAAAGACCTTTCCTCTGGATAGAAAGGCAACAAACTAAGTGGAACCACTCTTGCCAATTTCCATCCTGCTGTATCGTAAGCCTACTGGTAATGTACCCTTCTGCCATGGGTTGGGTTCTTCCACCAATTTTTGTTGCACCAGACGACTGATGTGCAGATGTGTGGATGCGAGCCAGGCAGCTGCGCAGCATGGTTGGGAGAAGGTCAGCCTCATGCAACATCACAGATGTACGAGGGGAAAAGCAAACCAATCCTCAGCTACTGTTTCTTGCATTTTCAGTCTTTCTGAGAAGCTGGGATAGCCTGGTGAACTGCCTTGCCAGAATGGTGTGATTAGACAGTCGTGAAGAGCTCAAGTGTGCGTCCACCAAGGCAAAAAAAATATACCTGATCTTATATAAGTAGTTCACCATGAGCTTCTTTCCATGCTTTTTTTTTTTTTTTAATCTGTTCTGAAACATAGCTCCGCAAATTTCTTTCCCCTTAGGCTGTACAAAGAGGTTAGCATCACTGCTTTAAGAATAAATTAGCGTGCCATTTGCACAAAACAGAGTCCTACCAAAAATACCAGACACATTTCGTGTTCTCCTTTATATACAGCCTACATCCTGGAAAAGTGTGATCCACAAGTCTGCACTAAAATTACCATTACCTTAGCAGTAGGCCAACAGAGTTTCAAAATTTTTTTGTCTGTCTTTTGCCCTACAGACCCATGAATTAACATTCAGACTGCCAGAGCTGGAGAAGACCAGTGAACATCTGTTGGTCAGAGTGAAATGCCTTGTCTGAGAACCACATGGAGCCTGCAAGCCTATTCCACACAGCCCTGTTTTTACCCAGTGGCTTTAAGGGGTCTTTAAAAATGTGCTCCAAAAACCCTACAAATTCTTTCCATAATAAATATCCCAGTATCCCTGTTGCAAAGTTGTGTTTGGGCTGCAGCTAGAAATCCTCAGAGAGGCCTTCCTGAACATCCCTTTAAGATCCTTCTGCAACCCAATGCACGGCTCGCTCTCAGGAATTTCTGTTGATAGCCTACATCTTCGGTGGAGAGAGGGACTTCTCACACCATCTGTGCTGCACAAGGTGCTGGCCTCTGAGGTCAAGTGCAGGAACTGGCTCCGAGAGGCTGCTGTCAGATCGGGGTGACAAGCGAGTCCGTTTCAAGGGACCCAACTTTCAAAGCTTTGTAAATGACAGTCGCTGACCCCTGTCAACTTGGAAGTGATTTACCCATGTTGTACACAGAGTTGCCATCTAGTTCATTAAGCTTTTTAAGCCTTAAATTTCTGAAAACACGATATTCATTTAAAATGAGCACAACATCCCTAACTCCAATAAAAAGGGCTGCTATAAAACCACATGTGCTTTCCTCTCCACATCCAGGGTCTGCTTTCTTACCACTGCTCACAGATGTTCTTCTCTCCCTTGAATTTTACATACTATTTTCAAAGGTACTTTTTTTTTTTCTGCCCACTGTTCTTCATCTCTCCAGACCATGACCTGGTTTCCAGCAGGTTTTCCACATCTGCAAAGATTTTGCCCCACTAAATTCTCAAGGACAAGTTACCCAAAGAGTTCAGAGAACTGAAAAAAGCTATAGCTAGACTGAACCAACAATTATAGTGAAAAAAGCTCCTGCATTGAATCTATGTTAAATAAAAATCCATATTTGATATATTGAACACCTATATAAAAATATGTGATAGATAATATACCACAGAATAGAATAGTTCCAGTTGGAAAGGGCCTCCAACGATCATCTAGCCCAGCTGCTTGACCACTTCAGGCCACTTTAACCAAAAGCTAAAGCACGTCTTTAAGGGCCTTGTCCAAATGCCTCTTAAACACTGACAGCCTTGAGGCACCGACCACCTCTCTAGGAAGCCTGTTCCAGTGTCTGACCACCTTCTCAGTAAAGAAATGCTTCCTAATATCTAGTCTGATATTTATTTATATAACAATAGTTATATAAAAGAGTTATCTAATATTTTCATAATAAGTTTTTGGTATAAATCACTAATGTTTTATTACGTCTTTTTAGAGGTTTCTTGTCTTTCCTCATGAATTGTGACAAGCTAGTTTAACGGAGTACACCAGTCTGAAAACTAATGCATACTGAAAACCCCAAAAGGTTGGCAAAAAAATAGCCTCTCAGAAATGCCTTCACTACCTATTAGTAACACGAATTACAACTCACAAAAGCATAATTTTTACTCTATTTTCTATATGCCTCTGAGGACATCTAATGCTGGCAACTGACCGAGGCGACACACTGGGCTCCAGGCACTTCTGATCCAGGCTTTGACACACAAATCATTCTGGGGTCTCTCTCTACATGTTTCATTTATGTCATTGGATAACTTGTATATTTTGAAACAATCATCTCCGTTCATAAATCAGACACTAGTACCTGAAACATCATTTAACTGGATTTCATTTATTTCACAGTAACTTATGTAAGGATTCGAAACCAAAAATAGTCCCTTGAGGTTAAGAGAATTTTGACCAATAGACCTAACTTAAGAAGTAAAAATGACACATTCCTTACCACTGAAGGAATCTCATAAGCACAAACTCACAAACCTGTACTTACACTTTCAACTTGCAGCCTCTCAAACTGAAAACTGCCTTCCACAAAGGAAAGCGGCTGCCTACCACTGCCATATCAGCAGGTCACCAGCGGTATCTAGGAGTTAAGCCTAACACCACGTATTCCCTTTGAAACCTCTTTTATCTATTCCCTCCTTTCAAGTAAACTTATTTACTCAGACCAAGAATTATTTGAAATTCAATTATTTTTTTAATGCAAAAAAACTTAGAAGAAAGTTGCCCAGCACGAGTTTCAGACTCAGAAAGAAATAAACCCCCTTAATTTTGAGCACATTTCTTAAAATTTACCTGAGCAGAGAAGTCAATTAGCTTTGGAAGCAACAGTTTACTTCCTTCATCGCTCTTCAGAAAGTCCAGCAAACTTCCTGTTACAACAGAGAAAGATGAAGTCAGTGCAGCTTCTCACCAAAATAAAGCCCCAGTGCCAGTCCCAGTTTCCTGGTGAAGTGTTTTGATGTATTTTCAAGCTGACTACAGTAAGGCAGTCTCTTTATATCCTTTAACAACAGTAACAGCCAAGTCAGCATGTCAGGCATCCAGGTTTTGCCATTTTCCTGAGTGTAGAACATTCCCATCAGACCAGAGCTTAGTTCAGGGGTGTTGAGCGTGGTAAGTACCCTGGTCTACGGACTATCAGGAAAGCTGTCTAGGAGAGTCATCCTTTCCAAGTCATAAAGTGTAAGTGGCTCAACACTTGCTTATGAAGTTATCAGCAGAATTGCTTGAAAACAGAGCAAAAGAAGAAGAACTACCACCCAAGACAATCTGAGAAGGAAATCTCACGTATTTTGGGTAGTGACACTCCAAAAAGGTTGCCCTTTTCTACTCGTGCAGCCACCCTTGCAAGGCCGCTCATCAGTCACCTTATTATACACATATTTATCAATTCAAGGGTCACATGGGGCAATTTCTAAGGCTTGTTTTAACTACTTTGCTGTGACACCGGACACGAAAGTTAGGTAGGGAGCCCAAAGGAACCAGAACTATTTTGAGGGTTATGCTCTGCATCTGAAACAACTAAAAATGCTACATTATAGAAAACTGTAAAAATAGTTTATTTCACAAATGCAGCAATGAATCACAGAATTAAAGCCCAGTCCTCCTCTAGGACATGTGCTCCTTCACATTGTATCAGAGCATTCAAAAGAATAATGTTAAAATCCCAAGTTTTAATTTTTTATTCTTCCCTCGTTAGAGAAAAGGGACTAATTTAGGAGAAGCAGAAGAGTTTACAAAAACATTGCTTGCAGATCCAATGTTGTTCTCACCTTTAGCCATGAATTCTGTTATAATATAAATAGGTTCTTCTTTGGTCACTACAGCATAAAGCCTAACAAGCTTATCATGCTGCAGAGTTTTCATGAGGTTGGCTTCCTCCAGGAAGGCTTGCACAGACATCGTTCCAGGCTTCAGAGTCTTCACAGCCACTTTCGTACTGTTATGGTAGTAACCTAAAAGGAGGGGATACGATCAGTGCACTTGAGGTCACTTGGTGCCGCACAGGGTCCCGACTGGTAGGAATTTGTAAAGCAGGTGAGACTGGATTCCAGTAACAGCTAAAAGCCTGAGAGCAAGTGCCAGACGTAGCGCAAATATTTACGCTAGAATTCCTTTTTATTTTGCAACTGATACAACACTGCAGTGAAAAATAATCCATTCCCTATTTTCAGTAATCAGTTATCTGAAAAAAAATAAACCTGTATTAGTTCATACCAAGTTTTCATTTAGAAGGAGCCTATAAAATATTCAAACAGTCAAGAGATGCTTTAATGAATGTCCACACAAATTGTTCCAGAATCTAACAGAACCCATGGATTGCTTGCAAGATTCTGGAGCACCTTTAAATACCATGATTATAACCATTTTATGCATGCCAGTCTCATGCTTATAATCCTTTCTGCAACCCTCAGTGCTCAAAACGGAGCGTTAGGGGAAAGTGCAATCAAACGAGGATTCTCGTGACCAGCCAAGATATGCTGCCAGCACTGCAGTCCTCCAACATTCAGAGCAAGATTTAAAATGTGATAACTTCTTATCACATAGCCTGTGCCAGGAGTGGAAGAGACTGTGGCAGTTTCACTTCTGTTTATCCAACCCTCTAAGATAATATTCGAATTATATAAAAAGCAACTATCAGTAAAAAGTAAAGCAGTGAATTATTTTCTGCTTTAATGTTTTCCAAACATAAAATAAATCTTAAAATAGAATTTAAAAAAATAGAGCAGCAAGCACTGATCCTAAAGTTTATTTTGTGAAGTTATTTAATTTGAAAAATAAAAGAAATAAAAGAAAAGAGAGAGAGGGGGAGTTACAAATGCAACTCTGGTCCCCTACCACACCCATTTCAACATTGCAAAAATATTTCTCAGAAAAGGTAAAACTCTCATGGCTAAATGAAATAAGCTCATTTCCTTATTCAGCAACAATCCACAGTATTACCGCAATGGGTACACCTCTAAATCGGAGTCCACAATTTCCTTATACTACTTGTCATCCTAACGTAAGAGATCAGTGGCAAAGCAAGGAACTAATTTCCACATCTTAAGGGACTGCTCTAACCACTGCATCTTCTGTCACCTTTTTTTAAAGAAGGATCATCACCCAAGAAAAGCTACTATGTCTATCACAAAATATTCACCTGCGTGATTATTAAATATATTTTCCCAAACATGGTCAGGTCAAAGCACAATAAGAAATGACAACTACAGGTCAAATCTGCTGGTAAAGCTCAGGTACACAATTTGTATCTATCACAAAAACAGATGTTAAATATATTTCTTTCTGCCTAAGAAGCAGAAAGATTATTTGTATCATTTCTACTATTCCATCCCATACCCTGAAGCAGAGCACTAGTTCTACTCCCAATTTGTTGAATACTCTACTGAACATACTAACTAATTAATGTCATTATTTCTGTGAAGCAGTTGTGACCAATACACTTAATGGTGTAACTGTCTTTTACATTCACTAAAGAGAGCCATCAAACTAGGGTTCTACTTACAGAAAGTTTACTACACCACCTCAGCAATACTGATGTTTTCTGCAGGAAAATGGTCTACCCCGACCCTCTGGTTGTAACACACAAAGCAGATTAGCTGATGAGAGCACTACAGATAATTGTTCCTGATGTCTCTGATGTTCATTTATTTCATCAGGTGTTGAGAGGGATGGGACACCAAAATGCTCTGCAGGAACACTCTTACTGCGCAGGTAGGGAACTGCAGCCTTTGTGCAGGTGGAGGGAAAACTGGTGACCTCAAAGCACTTCAGCTGGTGACAGCAAAGTTAATGCTCAGCCTGCATCACAGCAGGATTCCAGTGACGCACAGGGAGCTGTGGGAAGGGGTGGCTACAGCACTGTATCACCCCTGCTTCATACAGTACCTGCAGCTCTGAACTCTCCACCAACATCTGCCTTGGCTGACATGAACCTGGTTCCAGGCGTAAACCCAGCACTCGCTGGGTCGCGATATTCCTTGCCATACAATATGACCGTGACGACATAGTCAGTCTGATGCCTAAATGTGAACTCAACAAGATAGGTAAGCAACGAAATTCTTGTTTACATCTGGAACACCTGACATAAAATTCAGATTCTTTGCAACTAACATTCAGCTCATGCATGTACTGTAAAAATCCATTTCTGATACTGATGAGATGTGCCAGCAAGTTTTCTTGGTTCACTTTCGATGCCTTTTGTTTTAATAACAGTATTTCTGTGGTATTATTTACTCTCACTTTTCTAACAGCTGCATAAGGAAGTACACGTCCAAAATGTTTAATACTTGTATTCTGATTTGTGTTACCAAATGAGAGAATCTTTTACACCTGAGATGCAAGCAAAATGTGTCTCATCAATAAAATACACCATAATGGCTCCATTTGGCTTGTTAACTTCTCTTCTAGCCCTGCTTGAGAATTCTCTTCATAGGTTATTAATACCAGAGAGTATTATGGTTCACATCATATCAGTGCACATTAGGAACAAAAATGCATAAAACATAGACCCTGCTCTTGCAGTGCTGCTCTGGTTCATCACATCACTGAAGCAGCTGCCCAGATGCAGTGAACTCTATGGTCAAAAAACCTTTCATACCACGGCAGGGAGCAAGTCTCTCTGCAATTTAGGCTTCGTTAAAGATTAAAGGCACTGCAAGCAATAGCATGCAAGTCTGAGGAACCTGATGATGTCTTACATAGAGCACCATGTTCTTTTCCATATGTTAGAATAGAATCCTCCAAAAATTGTTAGTTTCAGGTACTTATTTTGGAATTGATTATGATTATTTTGACAGAGTAGTATCTAGCACAGCCAGGTTGCCCCCAGATTCTTACATGGGCTTAATCAGACCAAGCTGTGATATGAATTTAGAACAGACAATAATGAAATTGAGCCTACCATTTCTGACCAGATCTCCAGGGCAGAAGATGAACAACTTTATGAACAAGCCTACAAGATGCAGCTTTCTCCTTCCTCTGCTTTCACAGTAATTCTCTGCAAGGTTATACTGGGAACAACGTGTCTGAACTATGGAGGTGTGACACTGTTAGAAGCCAGGTAATGCCTCAGGCCGTTACGATTGCAGGAGATGCTGGGGAAGTGGCAGAGGAACAGCAGTGGCTCTGCATCCTACTGCATGTCAGCACATCACTGACACCACCGTCACCATCAATTCACCAACTACAGCCATCAATCAGCTGAAGAGCAGAGGAATGCAACAGCAGCTCCATCTCCAGCTCGTCTCCATACAGACCATTAAATGCGGAGGCAGAGAGCACAGGCTGCAGCTTTCCAGCTACTTCCACAGTGCAGTGCATGAAACGTGAACACAAGTCCGCTCTGCTGTTTTCATCTATCATGTCAGCACAACTCATGCCCAAAATACACACATAAATGCTAACTTGGTAGCTTAAAAGCAGAAAGTCTTTATAATATATCTAAAATTACACATAGCTGTAAAGAAGAAAGAAATTAAATGCACTTGCAGTGACAGACAAAACTGGGAGCAAATTTTCTCTGTGTAAAAGACACTCGTCAGAGTTGGAGGGGATTCACCTGCCAGGTTCGTTAGTGACAAAGATTCTCTGCAGAGGCTCACAGGTGCACTGAGAAGCAGCACAGCCAAGTGCTTGGGGGATACGGGGGTCTGCTTTTTGTTCCTTGGCTTTTCTGAGTCCTCCTATAACATAAGCTAACTTCCTCCAAAATGCACAAAAGGAACAAAACTTGGAAGCCCAAAGAGTACTTATGGACGAACTAAAAAGAAAAGACTATAAAAGAACACTGGCATATCTTCACATTGCAGTAACAGTATTATCTCTATCTTCCCGTATATCACAGAATCACAGAAGGGTTGAGGTTGGAAGGGACCTCTGGAGGGCATCTGGTCCAACCTCCCTGATCAAGCAGGGCCATCACCTAGAACTGGTTGTCCAGGACCCTGTCCAGCTGGCTTTTGATTATCTCCAAGGATGGAGACTCCATGACTTCTCTGGGCAACCTGTGCCTGTGCTCGGTCACCTTCACAGTGAAAAAGTGTTTCCTGATGTTCAGAAAGAACCTCCTGTGTTCGGTCTGTGCCCACTGCCTCTGATCCTGTTACTGGGCACCACTGTAAAAAGCCTGTCTTCATCCTCTTTGCACTCTCCTTCCATATTTGTATACACTGCTGAGATCCTCCTGAGCCTGCTCTTCTCCAGGCTGAACAGTCCCAGCTCTCTCAGCCTCTCCTCGCAGGAGAGATGCTCCACTCCCTTCTCCATCTTTGTGGGCCTTCACTGGACTTTCTCCAGTAGCTCTGTATCTCTCTCTACTGGGGAGCCCAGCTCCTCTGAAGAGGACACTGTTCCCTCTGAAACGACAATTCTAGGTACCCTTTATCAAGAAGAAATTTATTCAGTAATTAAATCATGGAACAGTATTTCTCTCTAATTCACGCTATGGCTGAAAAATAATTTTTTTCTAAATGAGGAGAGAGCGTAACAACTAGCTCTCTAGTCAGGAGAGCGTAACAACTAGGTTATTTCTCATTACGTCTCCGTAAGTCCTGATGCTTCTGGGTGATCATTACAACACACAGTGTTTGCTGACACCCTGCATCATACCGGTGACCTAATACGTCTTTTCCAGCTCGAACTTCTATGGTTCTAAGATCAACCACGCTCCTGACTCGAGAGGACCTGCGCCATGCAAATCAGCTTCTCTCGCTTCAGAAGGGAAGCAGAGAAGAGGAAACACAGCAATTGCTTTCACAGTACATTAATTTTTCTCACAGTGAAGCAATTCAGATGCAGGGGTTAGGCCCAATCTAGATGTTAAAATAATGACACAAACAAGAGGAAACATCTTGAACCAGAAACACCCTCTTAAAGTTTTATGACTTTCTGTGTACATGTGCAGAAGTAGTCACTTCCCAAAATGAGCGACATTTTCAAGCAGGTGATTACCTTCTGCCACAAAGCCTTTCACAGCGTTTCAGTGCCAGCTAAACACTTCTTGCTCTGGTTTGTTGGACAGAAAAAAACTGCACAATGGCTGACTCTTGTCTTAGCTAGTATGTAAATGGTCACTCATGTACATCATAGCTAGAGGGTTGCTTAAGCCTTTTCTCATGAAGGTAGATAAAAGGCTGAAATTGGGTATATTATATTATAGGGATGCATTGCTTGCATTTTCTACGTGATTTATGTCAAAAGATTGCACTATGACTGAATTAGAGCTTTCTGATAGGCACTGTAATTTTGTGTGGAATTTGCCACTGAAACAGCACCACTCTGTGCTTTGCTTTTCTAAATGAGAGCATCTCTTCAAAGCAGTGACACTCCCGACAGCCTGCCACACTCCTCTGGGTCATCAGAGACCCCTTCATAGGTTTGCATCTTCTAAAAAGTTTTGGGATACACTTTTAAGATACTCAGAAATGCCCTGCATATAGAAGCTTGTTAAAAAAACCCCAAAAGCCCAAACAAACAAAACCAAACAACAACAACAAAACCCCTTCTATTATTAGAATAACAATTTTATTACTATTTAAATATAATTTCCAAAAAGGAGACTCAGGGAAGGGTTGAGACATGATCTGGCCTGAAAAAACACCATAATGAAGACTTTGAGAGAAAGGTATAATTTACCTCAAATAAGATGGCAACCAGTAACAAGTGTGTAAGTACTGAATAGCACACAGAACACAGAATATGGAACCCAAAAGAATACTCAGATCCCTGCATAGACAGCATTTCAAAAGCAAGAGGATTAAATCATTTCTACAGAATGTGATTAGATACTAGTCATAGCCCTGTGCCACAGGAAGCCACTGTGGCTGAGAAAATATTGTTTATAGGCAAACAAAGCTAATTATGGTCATAATAAGTAATACTATAATTTTTTTTCTGGGTATATATTAATATTCACAACTTGTAGGTCTTATGACACTTTCATTATTGGAGACTTGCATGATAATTCAAGGTAGGGGGATGATCGTCATCTAATCTTACTACTTAAGCCACCCACTTTCCAAGCAGCAAGCTGGCAGACCATAATCTTGGATTAAGTGTCCCTGTTCTTCACTCAGTACAGCAGCCCCATGCATTGCATTGCAGCGTCTTCTTTACCAAGAGACAATGACAATTCTATACATAAATCACTAAAATACATGATTTCTTTTTATTTCATGCTCTTTACTACTTTCTGATTTGAAACAAAGTTCGGAGAGGCCCATCAATTTTGAGAATCAGTAGTCACATCATACTATAACCTTCTACTCCATCCACAAAACACAACCAAAAAAAGCCTTATTGTCTTTGACCTTCTAAATTACAGTGCTTGCTTACCATTTTTTTCCTTTAAAAGACACCAAAGGATTTGTTCCACGTCTCTGTCAGGTATCTTCCCCCTCACAAACCCTCTCTCCTCTCGAGAAGGTATGTTCTGGACCTGATTGTGCTGTTTTAGAAGTACATCAGACCAGGCTGATGTCCACTATTTTTCTGAATGACTCTGAAATCACACTTTCAGGAGATATGAATGCTCTTTCCAAAGGAATAAACTTACCCATCCAGACTTCTCCAAACTGACCAGCTCCAAGTTTCTTCACTAATTTAATTGATTCCCGTGGAATTTCCCATGCATCTTTATCCCATGGTTTTTGAGGCTTGGGACTAATACAAGCTTTTTCCAGCTTTCTGCATAAGCCATCTGATTGCTCTGGTTTTCAAACAAAAAACAAAATACAAAATTCATAACACTTCTGTACCTCATGACTTGAGACAAACATTACTTAATTCCAGGTGTGCACTAACAAGCTCAAAATAATGTTCAAAATAATCAGATGCTTTGACGAAAATGTAATCTTTCTGGTGCTTTCATGGAACTTTAAGCACCTCTGAACTGAAATTTGATATCCAGCGACAAATTTAATACACAAGTGTCACGTTGCCATCAGATTATTAAGGGGTTTTAGTACAATTTGTACCAAATAAAGACAATGTAGGATCTGATTACTGGCAGTATGTTGATGAAGATACACACCAGAGTCAGGCTTGAGACCTGTATTCTGAATTTGTCAGTAAATTTTCTTGCAGCATGGTTTTCACATACATGTGCATGCAAGCAAAAGTAGGTCACCGTTATATTTTTTCTCCAGACACTGACCCGCTATAAATTTAGTACAAATTTTGAATAATTCTCAGGTTTTCCAGTTGTGCCAAATAATTACCACACCTGTGTAACAACTCAGAGAAATCTCATGGCTAAATCCTCAGCTCGGCTTTCAAAAATCACTATGTGATTTTCTGTCCTAAGTTTTTCATGTTCTCTGTCTTCCCAGTTACAAGACTAAAAAACACATATTTGGAGCTATCCACCAGGATGTTACGCAGAATGAAAAGTCACTGTTGTAGCTAAAATAAAGGTAGAAATTTGTCCATTCTTCCTCCCCGCCTTTTTTTAAATAATAAATGTATACATGCTATGTAGGTGCAATTTTCTTTATTTGAAGTCGATGGAATTTTACTTCCTTCAAAACGCCATTAACAATAAACAAACAAACAAACAAATAATGTTATAGGAAAAACAAAAACAATTCCAGACTCAACACCACAAGAAGACATTCACAAGTCTATACGTATTTTTGCTAAATATGACTACAAATTTACTCTCAAATACAGAATTAATTTATTTACAACGCAGGCAGTTCTTACTATAGCTTCACATCATCACAACTTTGATGAGGTGTTAAACGCAGCTATTCTTTATTTCACAACGGTATGCCACAGAGCAAGCAGCATTAGGTCTGATTATGATAACAACGTTACTTGGGTTCCAACCAGTTTTACTTTATCTTTGATAAATTGCGGGCCTGGGTTATTAAGAAAAAAAAAAAAAAAGATGAAAAGGTCTGAAACAAAACAAAGAATTTACTTTTCTTCACAGGAAATAATGGCTGTATTGTATTAAGTAACCCACTAACTGATTTAACTTACTTTGATAATGCTTGATCATATCATTGATGTTGGGAAAAGTTATTCTTGGAGAGATGTAAAACCCTCCATTGTCTAGACTCCTAATTTTGTAGTGCTTAATAACGTCACCATGCTGTGGATCATAGTCTCGTATGGAGAGAGAGTAACTGCCTGTGGATAAAGAAAGCATGGTCATTAACAGATAGCAAAAGTCTACAGAGTCCAAGCATACACAGCTGAGCCCAACACAATCACCTCTTTGTCTCTTTTTCTTTTTAGCCCCTTATTTCCTCAAAAAGCATTTTGCAATCAAGAGGAGGAAGTTGGCCAATAGCTGGGCCTGAACCGGTCACCAAAATGCTTACAGTCACGCTTTCTTTTTCAATCTTATTCAACAAAGTTAGGAGTTCCATAACCCAGACACCTCCACAACCAACACCCACTTCTGCAGAAAGTCCCCTCGGTTCGAGTGGAACCGGCTGGGGAAGCAAGGCCAGGGCTGTCACACTGCTCGGGCAGAAGCTGAAATTGGAGATCAGCATTTTGGAAAAGGAACACGCTTGATGTCATGGGCCAGCTGGCAAAAGGGCAGCTTGGAGATGGCTCGAGGCACACAGAGGGCAGATCTGTTAGTCCTAGGGAGCCTCACCTCAGCTGGGACTTAAGATGGGGCAGCAGAACATCTACCCTAAACTACAGAGCTCTTTGATTCTTCCACTCATGCAACTCCTGTCTATTTTCAAGGCTAAGAAACCACCTCAGCCCATTCTCTCATCCCACACACAGATGCAGGCACAGAAAGATTTTGGGGGTACTTTGCCTTACTCCCAGCAGCTTGTGTTGAAATTAGATCTCTGTCTTCATTTGAGAGCACAGAAACAGTGATATGGGCCCATTACAGAGAGCTGCCTAATGAAGAATCTGCAGTGTTAGGGCCAGAAAAACCACCCCTGCAGAGAGGATGGGCATACAGCCCGCTGCAGGAGTTCACGCGTCTTCCTCCGGAGGATGCGGTGTTGGAGCATCCAGCTGGAGTCAGGCTGCTGTCAGAGTCCAGGCGCTGGGGCAAAACCTCCTACGCTTTTCCGAAAGTCACAGCCAAAGAGTCTGGGGACTTCACTCAGCTTTTCAGTAGAAAGGGCTCTGTCTACTGCAGAAATCTTTACCAGAAAAACTTTTGGGAAAAAAATCACACTAAGTTCAGAAGTGTAAACTCTCATTGTGCACTAACTACATTTTAAAACTTGTGGCAATGGGTACAGACCAAATCATGGAAGACTACAAAATGCAGCATCTACTGTTTACAAAGTATGCTTCAGTAAAGGAATCACAAATGCTAGGAAGGGAAAAGATCTCTCCATTCATCCCTGCTTCTCGTCAGT